TTCTACAATCAGTCTAGAAAGCTATGACCACTGCCATTTTTGATAACTTAATGAAAAATTTAGCATCATGAATGTTGATTTAAAGCCAAGGACCATGAGATCAGAGTTTATTCCCAGTGATTGTTTATGGCCACAAATAGCCAACTTACCCAGCTCCCTCTTGGTGAGTAATTCTTTCCTCATCTCCCCTTAACAGATGACCCCCTAGACTTCGCTTAGGTTCTGTTTACTAGCTTCTAGAGCCTATCCATGATGTTCTGATTATCATAAACCTGTACAGGAGAATTCCTCAGAGATATATACAGGTGTCAGAGTTTTCTTGCCCCCAAAGACAGACAACACATACATTGTTCTCTGTTATTGGTTGGAAGAGCTGTTGGAATATAGGCTGGAATATTATCAGCTCTTATATACTGGGATGTTCACCACTTGAGCTTTATCTGTTGAAAGAGGATAAAATAATACCGACTACATAGTTTATTGTGAAAATTTAATATAATTAAGAATATAAAGCACCTGGTACAATACCTGTGAATATAATAAGTGCTCAATAAATTTTAGTCCCATTTTGTTAATCCAGTCTTATTAGTTCATAATAAGAGATTTGAATCAGTCATAATTTGCTAACTTAAGTTGATGATAAAACATCTTGCTAATTGTATAATATGTTCTCAGTGTAATAGAATTCAAGTATGTTGGAAAGGGGCCTTTAAAAAAAAAAAGATTGTTTTCTGTGATCTTTTTTTCCTTGCCAAATAAGAATTCCAATATGAGTGGTCATTATAGATCAGATTTCTCAAAAGGTATTGCTGTCCTAGTCAAACTATTAACTGAACTTTTGATCATAGAATTTCCCCTTGAAGAGCTGAAAATGAAAGAATAGGTCTCAAGAGTTCACTCACCCTTATGGCAGTAAAGATCCATAAGTAAAGCCTAAGAGGGGTTCCATAATCCAGAGCTCTTTTGTGACCTTATAAAAACTTGACATCATGTAGTAACATCTGAGTACACACAGAGGTTCAGCTAATTTCATACATCTAAGTTCTTATTACAGTTTTAAAAATTCAGCTGCATTTTGCTGTCACATGCTTGGGAAAAGGGACAGTAGTATGGAGAATACCAAATTGTAGGTAATTCTTAAATCAACTGTATCTGATTCTGTAGTTAATTTTTTTTTTTAATATGAACATGGCTGTGGGGGTTTTATCCGTCACAGTCACTTTTTTTTTCCCCCCGTCACAGTCACTGAAAATGATGGAGTCTCATTGTGAATTTCTAATCTAAAAAAACATTTTCTAAAGAGATTGGTAGGCAGAATTTGTGTAGCTTGATTCTCTGTTCCCAGAAGGAAGAAAAGCAACTGTACATACACTTAATCTTCACAACAGCTCTTTGAGGAAATGTAATGTTCTTTATTATATAAATAAAGAAACTGAGCCCAGAGAAGTTAAATAACTTGCTTACCTAGCTAGTAGCTGACAGAGCCTGGACTTAAATACTGTCTTGACTCGAAAACCTGTGCTGTTTTCATTGTACTGCTCTGGGCTCTTACCACTAATATTTATTTAGTACTTTAATTTTCATATTTTAATATATTATAGTTTAGTATTCCTTTCAGAGTTCTATTCTTTTAGATATAATCTTCACTGCTACAAATACATATTTACTCTTCTCAGAGTAATAAAACCTGCAGCCTAAGCAGATCGTCCCTATTCTTAGGACTTGTATTTTTCCTTAAAATAGTTTTTTCATTAATTTGAAATGAGAATGAACAGAGTAATAAAGTCAACCAAGAACGGAGTAAGTAATAAAGTCAACCAAGAACATAAAGAGAAGCATGATATAACACGAAGTACTTCAGAGTAAAATCTTAGGTATAAATATGTGTAGGGATACATGCCACCACATAAAACACTTTAATCAGTCTGAGCATAGTTACGATTATTTCAGAAGCCAAGAATTACTTGATAGCTGAATCATGAAATATATAAATATATATATAAAAGAACCAGCAAGTATGCTGGTTTGAATTACCTTAATTTCATATAATGTGTCACCTAGTAATTTTTTTCTCTGTTGATTTTAATCAATATGTATACTTTTTCTTTTAAATAGGGAAGAAGAATTTGATGAATATTTTCAAGATTTATTTTTGTGAGATGAAAAAGGGATGCCTACATTCCGTAATGCAAAGTGTACTTTGAAACTCTTCACAAAAGTTTTGTCTACAAGTTGCAACTTCAGTGGTTTGTCTTTGGAAATAAAAAATCCATCTAGGATGGATTGTCAGATGCTTTGGAAGTATTTTCAGTTCTTTTGGAGATACTTTTCCCTATCTCATATATTTTTTCAGCTTCTTACCTACAACTGTGTTCCATCTGTAGCTCAAGGATGGACCTAGTACACTTCACAGAGATCCATTTTTCCTATTTTTATGGGTTTTTATTTTTTCCCCACTGATTTCACATTTATTTTCCCTTGCCTCAATTAGTATATTTAAACTTTTAGGGTTATTGGGGTCTTACAAAATTATAAGGTAGATTAATTATGTCTTCAACTTCTTTACTTTCCTTTGACACATGGCACCCCTCTTGAGAACCTGTTTTTTTCATTAGCTACCTTTTCTTTTTTTCCTTACATTTCTCTTCCTTCTTGCCTCTGCCACATAAGGGAGTTTGTTATAATATGATATTAATTCCCCAGTGTATGGGTAATTTATTATAAAGTAAATTAGTAGCACAGGAGGCCAAATGAGATCCCAGTAGTCTAAAGCAGCGTGTGTTCATGTAAGTTGACTCTCCAGTAAAGATTATGCAGTAATATAATTTAACTGAACAATGCTGTGTGCATAGAGCTTGTCTCAGATACAGTCATACATAATGGATATATGCAGAGATATATTATAAAATGTAACTTAATTTGGTGTTCATATGCCCAGGAGTCAATGGATGTGCTTCAAGAGATCTAAACATGCCTACAGTCGATGTGCAAACTTTCATGATTGTGTGTGTTTTAGGGGGAAAGGATCCATAGATTTCATCAAATTTTCAAAAGGATTTACTGATTTTTTTCCAAAAGGTCAGACCCATTTTTATAAACAGCAAAGAGGTGAAGAGTGGAAAAGATGCATGATTTGGTGAGTAAGAGAGGACCTATAGAAAACAGGTATTTTGTTGAAAATTAAATGACATTTAAACATGGAATTATTAGCATTAAACTGTACAACAGGTAATTATAGTATCTTATTTTTAAATAGTATCAGATTTTCCTTTTATTAAAGTTATTATTCATTATTAGATCAGTGTTATACATGAGACACTGTGCTAGACATTGCTACCAAGGAAGTAGCTAGGAAATGGTCATTTCTAAAGCATCAGAAAACAGTAAATCAGTGTTGATAACCAACAAATAAATAGTTTGTTTTGTCTTTTTCTTCACACTACTTTTAGTGAAAAAGAATCTTGATTTGGAGGAAAAAGTATTGAAATATCTAGCAGGAAAACTGATGTTATTAATAGAATATATGAAGCCAAAACATTTTTATGATAAAAATTAGTAGTCATCAGAACATAAAACTCCTGCAAAACTAAACAATGACTAGGAAGAATATTCAAAGGCCCTTTTAAAATGGATTCATATATTTGGTATTGCAAGTATGGTTTATGGACATCAAGTTCATTTATAAATTTAAATCATTAAATGTAATCATGATGTTTAATCCATTCATACACAGTGACAGATAATTGGAGTCATATTTAAAGGAGTCTTGAGAAGGCCTCAAGATGTTTTAAATTTTTTTAATTGAATTTTTATCTTTTATTGGAGCATAGTTGATTTATAGCATTGTTAGTTTCAGGTGTACAGCTAAATGATTCAGTTATATCCACTGTTTTATCAGATGCTTTTCACATATAGGTTGTTACAAAATATTAAGTAGATTTCTTTGTGTTACACAGTAGGTCCTTATTGATTATCTATTATCTAGATTTTCAAGATAATTCTCCAACAGACCTATCTTAAACTTTGCTGTAGTATAGTCAGGGGAGTTCAGCAAACCATTGGCTTGAGATAAATTATGCTTTCTTATACTTGCTCTTAAGCAAAGTGCCTGTTTTTGCAGACCTTCAGTGGTGGCTCATCTCTGTGCCTGAGTTTCTACTGAATGAGGAAATAGTTTGAGCTGACTGATATTTGAGGGGTCCAAAATTTTATAAGGCTAAAGGAAGAGGGTTTCTTACACAGTTTCTAAAATAATCCTAAATGGAGTTTCAGGATTATTTTAAGCAGTGAAAATAAGATGTACATCTATCACCCAACATGACTTATATAGACAACACTCATTTGGGTATATATATATTTTTTCTCCATAACAGTATTAACCTCCAGGCACTGTTCATTTATACCTGTTTGTCGTGATATTTATGCAAAATATCATTCATTCATGTTTACTGAGTGCTTGCCTTGTGCCAAGCACTTCTCTAAGTGTGAGCAGAGCTGCAAACAAAATAGACAAAAATATATCCTCTCATGGACCTTACATTCTAATGTGAGAGGAAGACTCTTATGATCCTAAGTACCTAACTTGTAAAAATATAACAAATGGTGATATCTCAGCTGCTTAAAATTTAACATTATCTGCTTTATAACAACGTTTGAGGTTGATAGAGCAATTCATTATAATTTAGATGTTTTACAAAAAAAGGTCAATGGTATAATTAATATTTGGTCTATTTTATAATTTGGTATGTCATTATAGATAAGAAAGAAATCTTCCCTTATGTACAGGTGTGTACATGTAGTAGAAGTAGTTGATTGTCTTTAGTTTCCTTTATTAAAAAATTTATTTGGCTGCATTGGGTCTTAGCTGTGGCATGTGGGATCTTTGTATGTGGTGCACACTCTCTAGTTGTGGAGCACAGGCTCCAGAGCATGCAGGTTCAGTAGTTGTGGCACAGGCTTAGTTGCTCCAAAACATGTGGGATCTTAGTTCCCTGACCAGGGATTGAACCCACATACCCTGCGTTGCAAGGCAGATTCTTTATTACTGGACCACCAGGGAAGTCCTGTTTAGTTTTCTTGACAATCAATATTTAGAATGCCTAATAGATACTTCTAGTAATCACTTTTTTTAAAGTCACCTCTGTTGAAGTCCCTTTAAACTGTTTTTCATAGTAAAGCTTTTGTATAGTCAAATCACATGCTGCTTAATAATGCATAATATTTATTAGCTGATTTAACTTTCATTAGGATTATATAGGTCATGTCTTATAAATTGATAATTCTATCAATGAGAAGAATAGTTCTGAATGTAATAATATATTAGTTACACATAAAATAATTGATTTCAGGCTTGGGAGAAAGGATGGGCATAGGATGACATACTTGTAAGCTGCTGGAAGTGAAGTGGTCTTTACTGTTCCATTATCAAGAGTAAAAAGTGGAGGAAAGAGATAAGCATTTCAGGTGGAATGACATTTAATATCCTTTTTCTTTGTTCCTTATATAGTACTTACATACATTATACATTCTGTACTGTATTTGCTCTTACATTAAGACATGTTGAGTAAAGATTTCTGGTTCAGAAAAGGATGTGAGGTATGAATCATGTTATGGGCTGAATTGTGTCTCAGCTGAATTCCTGTTGAAACCCCGATTCCCAGTACCTTAGAATGTGGCTGTATCTGAAGCTAATAAGGTAAAATGAGGTCATATGAGTAGGTCCTAATCCAGTATGACTGGTGTCCTTAAAAGAGGAGAATAGGACACAGACACACAAGAGAGAAGATGGAAGACCAGGTGAAGACGGCCATTGACAAGTCAAGGAGAGAGGCCTCTCGAGAAACCAGCCCTGCCAACACCTTAATCTTGGCCTTCTGGTCTCCAAAACTGCAAGAGAATAAATTTCTTTTGTTTAAGACACCCAGTATGGGGCAGGTTTTTTGTTATAGTAACCCTAGTAAATGAATACAATTAATAAGAACTTTAAAAAAAAAGAATTGGTGACTAGTTTCAGGATTATATTATTTTTAATTTAAAACAAATTGGCACCAAAAATGCACTTATCTTTGTCTTATTTTGCACTTTTTTTGAACTTTATTTTACCCTCATGGCTTTCAGGCTAGCAGTGTATTTTCTTATGCTAGTCACAGGATAGCTTTCCTGAAGAGTCTCTGTTAGTTGATGGTTTGATGAATGAAATTTGCTGATGTTCTTTTTTAATGTTTTCTTCAAATGTAGAAACAATATTTGTAATTTAGACCAGTTGGATTGTCTTACAACATTAGACATGTTTTGGACTTCTTGTCATCACCACCACCTCCTGAATCTTCTACAGCTAGTAAAAAGGAGAAAAGCAATATTATTGGGAGTCAGTGGATATATAGTAGTTTTCTCCTAATATTAGAGTAACTATATAGCCTAATTCATAGTTTTAACCTATATCAAGTACTAAGAGTTTGACCATTTTAAAACTTGACTTCATATTCAGAATTAGTCCATTTAGAAAATTAAATCTAATAAATGACTAACCAGTTAATGTCTCAGTTCTCAAAAGAACCACTGAACTATCCAGTCTGGGAATCTGAGTTGTTGCTTTGTGTTGCCTGGAGACAAAGTAATAGTCTTAGTTAACAGAGACTTCTCAGTGTAGTAGGAAGAAAATTCAGAAGTAATTTTTTATGCAAATAAAGTATAGAGATCCATATCCAATATACCAAATACTAAATCTAAAAAAAAGTCAGGAATGATATACTGCTCATTGTAAAATTGGGATAAAGATTAACTGTACTAAGAAATAACTTTTTGCTTTTCACTTGCTCAGTAAAAATAACCATTTTTGTTATCTTTTTGAAGCTCAGCTCAGATCTTACTGCTTTCATGTTGAAATCCATCCCTCTTAGGACTTCCTGTTGCTCTCTAGAGGACAGATCCATAAGAAGGCCTTCAGGGTAACACACCCATCTGGCAGAGCTGCCTGCATTCCTGGCTTCATCTGGTATTTTACTCTGTTTGCTCTCTAGACTCCAGCTACACCAGTTTTCAAGTTCTTCAAGTGCACCAAGCTTATTTCCACTTCACGGCCTTTGTGCATATTCTGTTCTTTCCTCTCCTTTCCTTTAAAACTCTTCCTCCTTTCTTTGCTTAGAAAAAGCCTGTCTTCAGTGTAGCATAAACATCCTTCAGGAATGACTTCCCTGATGCCCCAGGTATGCTTCTTCTGATAATTAAATAATCGATTTTTCACTTGGTGCTCCCCTACCATGTGGTAAGCTCTATGAGATAAGGACCCCATCTTTTCCCAGGGCCTGCCTAACACAGGGCCTTGACAGAATACACAGCCACTAAACATTTAAGTGAACGTATATCCCAGAGTCAGGAACTCCTGTTTTTATTCTGTTGGAGGATATCCTTAACCCTTTAAGCAAAATGCTTTCTCCCTCTGAATTCTTTAAAATATCACTAAACACATGAACCATCTAAAAAGAATGTTGCTTTTTTTTTTCTTTTAACAAGGCCTTTCCAGACAGAGATGGTCTATTAAACAATAAGAATTTCTTACAAAACCTTCTAAGACTGGAGCTCATGAGACAAAATATGAAATGATGACATTAATATTCCACTTTCAAGATGACATATGAGTCATCTGATGAACTAATAGGTGATGTAAGCATCTTAACAGAGGCTTTCTGAAGATTATGTTAAACCTAACTGAGTGACTTTAGGAGTAGAAATTTCATCAGGATAAATAGCACTACGGAGAAACATCTGAGGCACAAAGTCTTAGGGTACCTTCAAGTCACCCCACTCTGCTGGCCAGCTTTACATCTAGGGCTTCCTTAGATCTGGAAATGAGGCTGGAGATCTGTAAAGCTTTCTCATTATAAGGAGAGGAATATTAAGCTCAGAGAGGCTAAGCAAGATGCCCAAAGTCTTACAGCTAATACAGAATGTTAGGACTAAAATTATTTTCTCACCTAAACCTGATTGATCACACTAATCCTATGGTTTTCATATTATTTCTTAAAATTCAGTATTCTGCAGAGGTACCTCAGGAGCCACTTTATTGAGTGGATGAAGAAACCTAGCCCTAACCCCAACTTCAACTGGACCAAGCAATTCCATCGGGAATTATAAAATAAGATCTTGTTCAAGGGGATAAAAACCCTGAAAACCACTAATCAGCTTCTTATAATTCTCAGTCTGTGGGCAGTAAAGCAAATTTCCTGTTTGCATTTACTTTTTATGCTTTTGTCATGTGAGATTAAGCTCTGCTGGACTTACAGCTACTTTACAAGAAGCCAAAACAGATTCCATCTAACCTTTTTCAGTCGTGTTTCCTTCTTCCTGCTTTTTCATCTCTTCAATTACCTTCATCTTTTCATCATACTCATCAGCTAGGGATTTCCATTCCACTCTGTTGTTTTGAAGACCATTCAGCATAGGTGTGATTTCTTTGTGAAACCGTGAGAACTCCTAGAGAGAAATTTGGGTCAGAAACTACTTAAATCATTTGGTTCATTTTCAGTACCTTTCATATGCAGAGAAGGAGCCCTAAGGAATTATTACAGTGCTCAGAGCTGTTAGGATGAGATTAATTCAGTACCTTGAAAGTGGGAAAGGTAGCTCTTGTCTTTCCTGCTCACCTAAGTAAGTTTATTCAATTTGCTTACACCTGAGTTCTCTCACCTTTCATTGCATCCTTGAAGGAAAGATAAGGGTAATACCTCAAACTATCTTGGAGAAATGATGACACCCTTAGTGACTTTCCATGAGGGATGAGAGTGACTTTGATTTTAGTTACAGTTTGAAAGAAAAATTCTCATCCAGAAAATGATATATTTCACTCAAATAATCTATTTACTTACCTTATATACAAAAGTACAGACAAAGTCAATAAATCCAACTTGAAGTTTAGGTAGTTCATCTTTTTTGTTTCTGTCCATCATAGGCTAGAAAGAGAAATAAATTCTTTAAAGATAATTTTCTAAGATCCAGTGGACAAAACAGACTGATTTGTATCGATAATTTTTAATCAGTAGTGCATTTTTATGTCAAGGGTTTTACAATGGGTTGTTGCTGCAGCACTGTTCTCTCCAGATCTCCTTGTTCCCAAAATTCATTTGCAACCAGGAGTGCTACCTGCAAAGAAGGAGGACATGATTCATGAAAGTCATGGTTCAGACTTATTAACAGAGAATTTGCATTTTATCATAACATTTTATCCTTAAATGAGTAACATTTAAGAACAGAATTTATAATTAATGCTTGAGGTATTGTCATACCATATGTTCTTTGGCTTTTAAATGATGTTATTTACAGATTATATTGAAATGGGCAAGGGGGATTTCTCTTCCTACTTCAGTGTGATAGACTCATTCTGGGTGTGCCGATCTCCTAGCTGCTATTGTCATCACCTCTCAACAATAAAAAGGGGAGAAGGGAGGATGTCTAATTCCATTTCATTATGATTCAAGCTCCAAAGCTTCCCAGATTCTCCTCTTGTCCTGCTTATCATCTGCCAGCATCTAGCATGTATCTGCCTGTGTGTTTATGCACATACATGCACAGCTTAGAACACAACTTCACCTGATATGTTGTGGGGATATTGAGAGTTAATTTATAATGGTTTTTTAAAAACCATATTTATCAAGTTTGTTGAACACCTTCTAGCTGCCTTACATTGACATGATCCAGGCTTACCAAGAGGAGTTAAGATGTGACCTTGATCTTTAAGATGCTTACAATCTAATGAAGTCAGTCATGTAAAGAATGTGGAAAGTTCTATCATATCAACACTGTCAACTGCTGTGGATCAAGGAGAAAGATAAGGGAGGTTGCATTTATGCTGTATCATCAAAGAAGACTAGCAGTTTACCAGTAAAGAAGAAAGGGAAGACTTTGTGCAGATAAAGTTGAATGTTTAGAGCTTGTGTGAGTAGGAGCTTAAAAGTGTGAGGCAGTAACATGGGAAATAAGAGAAATAAGTTGGGGAGTGTGAGTTAAGGACAGGTAACAGCAAACCATGTATGCTTCCCTCGGAAGTTTAACTTGATTCTCTGGGCCAGTAGTTCTTTTTCTTTGAGCTGTACGGTCCCTCCAAAGTGCACAAGTGGTACAAAAGTGGATGCCAAGAGAGATTATAAAGTACAGTAACTTTGCTTTTTCCTCTTATAAAAAGTGATCATGTACAACTTTTTGTGCAAGGAAAATAGATATTGCTTTTTTCTCTAAAAAAGGTTGAAAACCTCCAGCAGTGGGGAGTTTAGAAGGCTTCTTAAGCAAAGCAGTAGCGAAGCAGAGCTCTATTTATAAGCATTCCAGCAGCAACTCAGAGAAAGGTTGGAGAGTTCATCCTAAGAGAGGATCACTTAGGAGGCTACCACCATAGTTCTGATGACAGAGGGAAGTAAGAACTAAGAGGGTGGCAAGAGTGATGGACAGAAATGGTTTTGAAATGAGGGAGATGGACTCAAGCATGAGCCCAGGTTTTTGGCTTGGGTGACTATGTAGATAAAGAATTGAGGAGGAAGAGCAGGCAGTCGGTGAGGAGGGAGCACAGGTATCTGGTTTGGAGCCCAGCTATTCTATCTTAACAGATACAATCCACATTTACAGTTGAACCCAGGGAATTCCGGCCTCTTCTGCTTAGGGTTTTCCCTATGAATTAACTGAGGGAGAATTCTTTCATCGATTAGTAAGAAACCAAGTGGTAAGCAGATGGCTCCCGCTCATTCCCCACACTCCCCAAGGGTGAGGAAGACCCTCCTTAGAAGACGCCCTTAAACTGAACCTGCAGATAGTGCCGTCTCATGACTGACAGCACACCGGAGAGACGAGGAGCGAAACCACCCTTGAGGGATGAAGGCACTAGTGATTCCTCCTCGCCTGTCATGCTTTATCTCCTCTACTGAAAACCCAGACACTCCATGAATAATTTTATGTAAACTTCTTACAGCCTGTCCAGTGATAACAGGAATTCCTTCCAGAAAGCATTTTCTTTCTAGGTTCCTTCTGTTTCCCTTGTCCTGGGCCTAACCAGATGACCTACTGACATCTGTCAGCTCTTGAAAGCTGTTTACTTTTCTTTTCTAACAGAAACCCAGCAGGGAACATTGTACTTTCTTGTCTTAACTTCTTAACTTCCTTTTTCTTCTTTGTAAATTATAAACTGATGGTTTCAGAGGACAGGTCCAGGGTAATGAAGGTAATTGCTTTTAAAATATATAGTCATATAATTGGTTATAATTAAATTCTGAGGTTGCCAGATACCTTCATATTCACTGTCTCATGGTGCCTAGGCAAAGCCCGAGGGCCTGACAGAAAATGGGAACCACTCACCTGACTTTGTACCTCCCAGGGCTTGGTTATAGCTGACAGATCACACGCAGTCATCATCATCGCCCTGTGAAAGAAAACAAAACATGTTTAAATAGAAATATAAAACAAGTTATTTTTGCCAAAAGCAAAATAAAATTTGTTTTCTCACATGATAATCTCTTTTTTGGTTGGATCAATGGTTACATATTTGATGGCCTCTTCTTCAGTTTCCATTTTTTCACAGGCATCAACAATTTTTTGAAACATGGTTCTCTTCCTAAAAAAGAGACAACTGTGCAACAATTTTAGCATATAAGACCAGAGGTTTAAAGTGTCTTTAATATGTCCTTTCAGGTTTCATGTTTCCACTTTGCATTAGTTGTCCACATTGTGGACCTAGGGAGGAGACCAGGGAATGGCTGTGTAACCTTGATACACAAAGGGTTTAAGACAGAAATATCACAAGTCAGAAAGGAAAAAAAATTAGTAAATTTAAATACATTAAAACTAAGAGCTACATGTGACAAAAAGAGATCATAACAAAGGCCACAGGCTATGATGAGACATTGTAAAGTATAAAACCAAATATTAGAACCTAAAATACATGAAAAGGTATGAAATTATAAGTGTGAATAATAATCTGTCTCACACTCAAATTAACAAATATATTTAAATATGCCCAGATCAAGAAGAGTCCAGATATGGAATAATAGGAACTCTTGTAACACTGCTGGAAGGAGTTTAAATTGGCGTACCTACTAAGGAGTGTAGGAGTTTTGCCATGTGGTATAAAATTGAAGATATGCAAACCTTCCAGCAATTCCCATATGTACTTTACAGAAACTTATATACACAAACATATACAATGTTGGCAGTGATGAAAAATTGGAAATAATATAAATGTCCATGAATAGAAGAATGGCTAAATTAATTGATAAAAATTACACAGTTGAATATACATTTAAAAAGAATGACCTGGATCTCAATTTACCACTAAGCTAAATCTTCAAAGTATTGTTTAAAAACAAGTTGCAGAAAGGTATATACAGTATGATACTATTTATGGAAAAATTTTAAACACTTAATAATGCCATAGAAAACATGAATGGTAAGGATGAATACGTAACAATACCAAGACAGTGGTATTTGTGAAGGAGAAGGGGGGGTGGCATTCATGATCGAGTGAGTACAGAATGCCTTGATTATACCACTTTCCTTGAAAAAAGAGATCTAAGAAAATCTTAGCATTTGTTGAATCTGGGCCATAGCTATTTGGATATCACTTACCTAAGTATCTGCTTTCATGTTTGAACTATTTAATAACTGAATTTTTAATGAAGGATTGGAGAGGCACAATTTAATACTGCCCAAGTTGTTAACTATTTAGACCCTGTAACTAGTTCACTTTGTCCTAATGCATTTTAAACTTTATAGTTCACTGACAAGAAAATGTAGAGAAGCTTGGAGTATCTGGTCTCCTAGGTAATCATCATCATCATAAATAGGCTAATGCCTCTGCTGTATGTAACTCAGAAATTTTTTTAGTTTGTTAATGTGCATCAGTATCACTAAGATTTTTCAGCTCTCGGACTCTGACAGGATCAAATGTCTGAGCCTGCAACTCTAAATACCAGACTGCGAACTATGAATTCCCCAGATCAAAAGGCACTGTGTAAGGTTTTATAGCATCACTGTTCTGGCAGTCATCTACCTTGATGCAGTTTCTTCAGATAACAAACTAATATTAGGGGCTTAGCTTTTTAAAATATGTTCCAAATGTCCAGTAAATCCACCATCAGGCATCTTAAGGGTATTTATTGGTAATCCAAAAAGAAAATGAAGAAATGTGTCTCTAAATAAATGTCTTCTAACTTTAAGGCAGTGGACCATGGAAGGCAGAATCACACAGAGTATAAGGGAGTTCTGTACTTACTTGAAATATAAAGCCAGGTCAGTTGCTATTATTGCAACTTCAAACAAATGAATAACTGTTTCATACTGGCGTTTATTTAGGTTCTGGAAGATGTTTAAACTCTGTAAGATGAAAATTCAAAATAAAGTGCCATCATTAATTTGCCTTTGATTCAACAAAAAAACCACCCTATGATGCTTAATAAGAGCATCTTATTATAGAAAGAAGATAAACTAAGTCTTACTTTTCTTGCTTTCAGTTTTCTGTCTAGAATTAAGTTACCTCTCTACTTACACTTTGAGTAAGATAATTTAAACTCTTAAAACAGATTATTAGCAAATATTCATGTAATCGGTATATAAGTTTTCTTCCAGGACCATTTCAATAAAAACAATAGATTTAAATTTTTCTGTAGTAATTGAGAAACTTTAATAAAGAATACCTGTTTTTTGTAGTGGTTTTTGCCATACATTGACATGAATCAGCCATGGATTTACATGTATTCCCCAACTAATAAAAATAAATAAATAAAATTTATTCTCCAAGCCACAAAAAATAAAAGAATATCTGGTATTTGTCCAATTGTTAGACATGTTGAATTATTTACCAGATAATTTCAGAGTGATTATAGAAACTATGGGAGAGCTTTCAGAAGCTGCAGATTACAACAGTACTCACACATAGAAAAAAGCAAATCTTCCAAGTTGTTTTTAAAATGAAGTCTTGCAATTCTATTTTACAATGACTTATTTCTACCTTTCTTCAAAGAGTTTCCCGCTAACAGTCCCCTCATACATGGATCACCCTCAATTTTTAGTGTTCCAGAAACCAAGAGTGTTAATCTGGGAGTGGTTTTTAAAAGATAAGATATTCCAAAAAGAACATTTTTAGGAATACAGGCCAAAGACAGATGTGCAGTGACAAATGAAGTCAACAGTTAAATACAGGAAAATCCCACTGGAAAGGAGGAAATAGTCTATTCACCTGTATAGAGACAGAGGCAGCATAATGTAGAAAAGAACACTGGGTCAAGCACCAAATAATAACAGCAGACACCTAATGCTTCCCACTCCCCAGGCACTGTCCTAAGTGCTCTATGAAAACTCTTTAGTCTCACAACAAACGACAGCATATAGAGGTTAGGAAACTTGCTCAAGGGTAAACAGCTAGCACACAGTAGAGCCAGGATAGCAGGGCAGTACACCAACTCAGTCAGCAGCCCGGGTTCAGTTCCCAGCTTCCCCACGTGGTAGTTGTAGCGTCCTGGACACCTCATTTAACATCTCTTAAGTATTTGTTTTCTCAAATGGGGATAATATCAGCTGCCCTGCTAACTGCCTGGCACTCAACCTGTGATCAGTAAATATTTGTGGAATGTTGATGCAGATGAGATAACTGGGAATGCATTTAAGAACAGTAAATTGTTACAGAATTTAATTATTGCTATATCATTACTGGTAAGTTTTGAGGTTATTCCCAGTTTAAAATAGAATTGCAAAACCCAAGACCAAATATAGCTCTGTCATTCCAGGAGACTGAAATACTAGAAAGCAAGAAATGGACTAGAATTATGTGTGCATAATACAGCCTCCACTTAGGTCATCTTTTTATAACTTCCAAGTCAAGAAAAATGGCATTTTACACAGCAGTAATAATGAGTTCATAATAGCAACTACAGCTAGACTTTTTTAATTGATAGAAGACATAGCAATTGACTACTACAAACTACAATAAACAAAAGAAAACTTATCTAGATAAAAACCCATGTCTTGCTTGAAAGAGAAAGTCCTCAGCAGCACGTTGGGTGTAATCTCTGCTCCAAATCTTCTGGATATAGGTTATTTTTAACTGGTCTGGATTGACCAGGAAGAGGGCAAAGTAAGTGGGCCGTTTGGCATTTAAATCCCACTTAACCTTCCCTGATTTGGGTACACTGGTGGCCTGCCTTTGGATTGGTGGTGACCCTGTGGCATATTTACATCAGTGAGTCATTGCCCTTATCTGTTCACTGATACACGTTATATGTTTCCCAAAGTATCGTGTAGTATATAATTCCAACACATACTTTGTAGATCCAGTAGCACTTAAAGTCATTCTTGACTGCTGTACTCAGGAGAAAAAAGGGGATCATGTGTGGAAATGCCCTAAGTTTTTAGGCAAATTATTAGTAGCACACTTTAATCACTTTATATAAGTCATTTTAATCCTTATTATATACTGAAAAAATCTAAAATAGTGGATCTCAGGTGTTCTCACCACACACAAAAAGGTACTATGTTGATTCACTTGACTGTAGTAATGATTTTACTGTATATCCATACATCACAACATCATGTACACATTAAACATGTAATTTTTTTAAACTAAAAAAGTCAGAAAAAGCCAAATAAAAACAGAATGTGGAGAGGGGACACAAAAGGCAGGCTGCCAAATTGAAATAAACAATCCCTTAGGATAGACTTTGTCTCTACCAAGTGCCAAACTGTACAGACCACACAACCATCAACCAAAATTATCAATATTTTTTATGCACCAATTACTTTTACTACATGTTGATTTTATTTTAAAACCTGGATACTTTGCTAAATATATGTGTGTGAGAAAAAAGCTGTATATAGAAAGAAAAATAATACTGTTGTACTCCATTTAAGTCATACCTTTTTTTAATCCAGAACAATAAAACAGCTCTATTAAAGCAGAGAGAATGGCAAACATTCTTTGACTTCACAAAGTAAATGAGTGTTGCATTTTTTTAAAAAGATGACACACTTTTAAAATTACTATACTTAAGAAAAAAGGGTGTACATTCAACTATCCAGTACTGCTTCCTTTGTTGATAGCACAATATTCCTGATTTTCACTTTTCCCCTCATTTTTACTGTACAAGTCTCTAATTGAAAAATCCTTTCTTAATTCAGTATTATTTTTTATTTTCTCTTTTCCTTCTCTCCTAGCAAAAGTTCTTAAAAGAAGAGCTTGTAAGCAGTTTCTTATTCAGCCATGGATGTAGATTCACATAAAAGATCCTGTTTCTGTTTTGTATTAGTTACTAGAAATCCCTTGACCAAATCTGTGGCCCATGTATAATAAATACCTCTGACTGTACACATTGTGGGCCTGCCCCATACTTCGTCTTATTTTTATTTTCCCGTTAGCCTTCATTTTTTCTTTAATGTTACATGTATTTTGGGGAGCTCCATTAAAAACTTTTTGGAACAAGTTGAGGATTAAACATATATACATGCATGCAGTTGTTTTTAAGTAAGCAAAGGCAGAGCCAGTAATCTCTTCATTGGAGCAAGAGGTCTTAGAATGTAGACAGGGCACAGAAGAAGGAAGGATGTCCCTCAAAAATCCAATCTGACACACACAACAGCCGCAGAGGATGAGCTGCTGAGGGGAGACTATTCTCACATACATTTGCACTGACTTCTATTCATCATCTGTGCCAAAGAGAATGCTTTGGGTCAAAAGCAGTGAAGGCAGGGAGGCTGGCAGCAATGATCAGATCCTAACACAGACCCTGTAGCTTCACAGACTTGCTTAACATAAGCCTTCTCAACTTCTGGAAAACCCAAATCAAAGAGGTGAGTTCTCCAGACCAAAGAGAGGGAATTGGTGAGACAGAGTTTGAATAAATAGAAAGCTGCGGCTGTCCTCAGTGCATTCCTGCCCTCCCCTCACAGCAGATGGCAAGGTCCATGAAGGAATGAATAGTTTTCAGAGGAAAACAAGTGTAAAACCTCTGCATAAAGACCACAAGAACACAAAATAGCCTATGGATTCAATGCGATTCTAACCAAAATAACCAAGTTTGTGGATGTGTGTATGTAAATTTGACAAAATTTCTATGAAAATACAAAGGTTTAATAAAAGCCAAAGCAATCTTCAAATAGAACAAAACTGGAGAGTTTATACTGGAAGGAAGACTTTATTACAAAGCTATAGTAACTAAGATGACATATTGACAAAAGAGACACAAACTGACTAGTGGAATAGAATAGAGAATGCAGAACCAGTCCATTATAATCAGTTACCTGGTTTAGGACCAAGGTATCACTGAAATGAAGTGGGTCAATAAATGGTGCTGAGTCAACTGGATTTTCACATGGACAGAAAAAGTATCTTGATCTCTACATCAAACCATATATAAAGATAAGTTGTAAAATGATTGTGGATCTAAATGAGAAAGGTATAACAATAAAATACCTTCATAACCTTGAATAGGCAAAAGACAATACTATACAACTAAAGAATTAATCTTTAAAAAAACTGATCAGATGGACTACATTAAAATTGAGCTTATTTTCACCCAAATCCAATATTAAGAGAATAAAAAGGCAATTCACAGGGAGAAAATATTTGTAATACATACTTATGATGAAAGAGACATAAACCAGAATAAAGAATTCCTACAAATCAAATTGAGAACAAAGGTAGTCCCAAAACAATTTCAAAAGGTTAATATAAAAAATTGTAGTTTATGTGTGTAAATTGATGCTATTTAATTTGACACAAATCAGTGCATCCCCCAAGTGACTAAAACGAGAAAGATGGAAAGTGTCAAGTGTTGGAAACAATGGAGAGCCACTGGAACTGTTGGTAAAAATGTGTATTAATACAACCATTTTGAAAAAGAGCTTGTCAGCATCCACTGAGGTTGAACATATGCTCACCCTATGGCCAAGCAGTTCTATTTCCAGGTACATACCAAACAAATACACCCATGTGTTCACAAAAAGACGCACTCGAGAGTCACAGCACACCACATGTAACAACTCTGAATCAGAAGTCACACAAAGGTCTTCTTGTAGTAGTTGACTGAACATGTAAATACAGTGCGTGACTGCACACACACACACTGAACTAAGAAAATAACAATGGAAGAAAGGAACACAAGGCAAATGAAAAATACATCAAAGGAAATACCCAACGGAACATGAAAAATTCATACTAATAATAACTATAGTTTCAAAACCACAAGAATTCAAAGGAGATTGTAAGACAACAGTAAAATTAAACTAGCAAAACTAGCAGTAGAATGAGAAGAATGGAATTGAATATAAAAGCAATATAATCCAAAGTAAAGCTACTCAAATGGAATAAGCAAGGGACAGTCCAC